TTTCCTTGAAGTGGTTCGTCTTCTGCCTCTCTGGGTATCCCAATGGCTTCTAGGTTCAGCTGAGCTCCAGAGACAGCCTCTCTTCCTGTCCTCCATCGGTGCTTCTAGTACGATCCTTTCCTAGCTCCAGCTGAGGCTTCTACCCCCTCCCCCACGGACGTCATAATCTGGGGATATTTCAATACGAGGGGCTCTCAAACATTTTTTGGTATGTTTCTGTGCAAAGTGGTTGGGAATGGGTCTTATGAAGGACCTTTTTTCCCCCAGCATCATGGTTCCTTCCTCACTTTCCTCACCACGCCATGATTCTGATTCCACAGAAGATGGTGTTCCCAGGGGTATTTACCTCATCGGAACTTTCACAAATTCCTCGGATCTTCATCAAAAGTTTTCTATCCTTCCCCCTCCCTAGTACGACCCCCTCGATGAGGATTCCCCGGAAATGACGTAGCTTTTTCAGAAATACCACCTGGAAACCGTCACTACGAACGATTCGAAAGCGTTCCGCCGTATTGATGCACGGACGCTTTCACGACTGATGAAATCGATGAGTAGTCAGGAATTCGCCGAGAAGTACGTACTGGTCGATTGCCGTTATCCGTACGAGTTCAACGGGGGCCATATAAAGGTGAGTTCATTGCTCTGCATTACTTCTCTAAACAATTGGATCTCTAACGCAAACCATTTAGGGCGCCATCAACGTCTATGACACGACAAAATGCGAGGAGGTGTTCTATCCGTCCAACTCGCTGCATCGTGCTGAGATTCAAGGCCGGATACCGATCTTTTACTGCGAGTACAGCCAAAAGCGGGGTCCTTCGATGTGAGTCCTTGGAACCTCTTTAGCGCCATTCAGTACCGTAATGGCGCTCATTTAGGGCCCAAACGTTGCGAAGTGTCGATCGACAACGAAATGTCGACGTTTATCCAAAAGTGGATTTCCCAGAGATTTACGTCGTCGACAAGGGATATCGCAACTTTTTCGAGACATTCGCAGATTCATCGCCGGACAAGGTTGGCCCATGCCTTCCATTTTCGGTTCGTTCAAAGCGATTTTATGAGCACATAAAATGTTGCAATGAGGCTAACCGTGACGACCTTGGGAACCCGCACAATCGCGGGGTCAACTCATCCACACCTCTTCTGAAGCTGCTCGCTTTTTCAGCATTTGTTTGAGCCATGCAGCTATGTGGAAATGTTCGATTGCCGTTTTGCTCATCACCTCAAACAGTACAATTTCCACAAAAAGAGCTGGGGGAACTCGACATGCTCGAAGAACGTATCGTAAGTTACTTAAAAATATTATTGGGTATTAATAAATATTAATAACAGAATATGAAATGGCATTAAATGGTGTCAAGTAGGATATACTATGATATAAATATCTCTTATTACATTAATAGCCGGCTAAGGAACCTTTCGTGCTTGCCAGAACTTCTTCCGTTTGATTATCACCTTTTATGGAGGAACACTGGCGTGTTCGGCTTGGGGAGGGGGGCATTTTGCGCGTCAGCTGTCTCCTTTTGTCATTTCATGCTAACTAAGTCCTCATTCTAGTGAAACCTGTGAACTTCTATGTTGCGTTATGATACGAGTGGGCGAACCCTTTTGCTTACAGGAATCGACAGGTCGCATGGTGGCCTGCACAGCTTTGTCAGAGTGCCGTTCGGTGCACCCACCAAGCCGAACCTAGCCAGAATATCTTTTGTGGTGCTGCAATTTTCCAATAACACTAACCTGAGGAAACTCAAGAGGAGACGCGAAGCGTGCCATGGTTCTCGAATCACGAGTATGAATTTTGGTAAAAAGTTGGGAAGAAAGGCATGCGTGCTATCAAGGGTTCTAACGAAAATTAATCGGGAGCGTCCTCAACTATGGCAGATGGGCAATAGGCGTACTGTAACTGGGGCACTGTAAAAGTACGGTCCTTCATATCCCGCCGCTGACTAAAATTTTGATATTTTGCGAAGTACGGTGCGAAGTCCCCCACCACTTGGAACTTTGTGGTATCACCCACTAATCCTGCTTACAATCTTCCTAAAGCCTCATCCGACTTCCCACCGTTTCAGTAGCATGCCTTCTGCTGGGGGAAGGGAGGGGTAGGGAGGGTAAGCGTCAGGGCAACGGAAAAAAAAACTAAAAAAGACAATTAATAACCGAGAATATTTTTTCAAGAGCATTTACGACATCTCTTCCCTTCATCGACCAAGTACGACCTTCTCGCTGGGGATCCTCAACGTAAGATGTGCTCTGTTTCAAATGGGCATGAAAAAAGGGACCGCTGATTCCAAGCATGGGAGGTGGCGTTTGATCAAAAAATCCTCCCCTTTGAACAATAGCCTATTTTCGGGGTTATGAGAGGACCAAGACAAGTAGTAGTGCCCTAATTGGTTAACTAGTTATGACCCTCCTCATCATCTCCAGAACAAGGAAGGCCGCCCTTGACCATCCCTTTTTCCGAAAATTGTGCCGAGTTATCCTCGGCACAATTTACCTTACCTACAATTTACCTTATTTACTGTACCCAAAGGTAAAATTGAGCAAATCTGCACTTACCTTAGAAGTAGCATCGGACAGAACGTGTACCCAGAGGTGGAGTTGGGCAGAAACTTGACGCCTCAAGCGGTTTTGCCCCAAGTACCTCCTATGGCGCAAAAACGTCTGCCGTCAACTTCACAAGGGCCGGCACCAGACCTTTGCGGCTATTTTATTTGAACATTTCTGGAGAGGATTCTATCAGATAATTCGAGTGAAGGGGATGGAATGTCCACCCTGTCCCGCTCCCGTAGGACTGAAAGTAAGCTGAAAATACGGCCGATATGAAAATTATCTGCCCGAAGGGTTGGTGGTGCCAGCTGGTCAGAGTGCACAGGTCTAGATGGAAGATCCTTTGGACAATGGGCAAAAGAGGCGCCTGTGGGAGAGGAGCTCCGTTGTAGGTGAACAAGTTTCTTTGTGAGCGTTTCAGCAGTACGGCCACGTCAGCGTTGCGTAGGGAGTCACACGCCAGGTGATTTCTGGAGGGATATTGCCCCTCAAAAGTTGATCTTCCCAAACAAGTGGGCTAGGTCTCAAGCGGGTCAGATCCCCAGGCTCGGAGTTTTTTGTAACTCCGGCGGTTGGTAACTAGACAAAAGGCCAAGTTGCATCATCTCCAATTTTTTTTGTTGTTTTCAATGCAATATTATATCTTCTTAGAATATTCTGTTCGCTGTTCGGCTTGGGAGGTGTGTGGGGGGTAGAATTTGTACTGACACTCTGCACTAATACTGCCCCTTCATGGCCTTCAAGATTTCACAGATCTCGGCTTGAACGCTGTTACGGGAAGTAACGAAAGTGCAAAATGCCCGCCCTCCACCCTTCTCTTCTGCCAGACTGCGCCTTGTTGACCTTTTAAAATTGGTGTATTTTACTCCTGAACCAAAAGAATTTTCAGTTCGCTATTTATTGCAACCATTTTTCAGTGCACTATCCCGTATGGGCCTGCGGCAACTCTCAGAAGGTGCTTTGGACTCGCCGTCAAATCCCGGGCCATCTCGACCGTACAGACGTCCGTTATTCGCCGCGGCGCCAAAGACGCCAGAAGCCCTACCGTTGGCGCCCGTGAGGCAGCTTCAGTTCTCCTGACAATCAACGGCTTCCACCGTTCACGACGTTAAACCCTGTGATCTCATCTTTTATTAGGACCTGCTCTATT